TGTCTCTACACTAATGCGAGGAGCATGGGGAACAAGCAGGAGGAACTTGCACTCCTGCTTGCAAGCAACAACTTTGACCTGGTTGAACTAACTGAAACCTGGTAGGACCCTACTCATGATCAGGCAGTAGGTGTTGAGAGTTACAGGTTGTACAGATGGGATAGAGTGGGGAAAAAGGAGGGGGAGGATGTTGCTCTATTTATTAAGGAACAATATACATCTTCTATAATCAATATGGAATCAGAGGGGAGGGCCAGACTGAGGTACTGTGGGTCAGGATACAAGGGGGCTGCGGGGAAAGGGTCTACTATAGACTGCCTCACCAGGAGGATGAGCTAGATCTAGAATTCTCCAGACAGCTCTCAGAGGCCGTATGGTCGAGAGATATGGTTGTCATGGGTGACCTAAACTACCTTGACATCTGAGGAGCAGTCAGCTAAATCTAACCACTCACATAGGTTCTTAACTTGCATACAGGAGGACCTCCACCTAATGCAGGAGGTATACGATCCCACTAGGGCCAAAGCCTTGCTGGACTTGGTGTTAGCTACAGGGGATGACCTGGTGGGGAATCTGCAGGTACAAGGTAACTTAGGGGATAGTGACCATTGTTTGATTGAATTCACTATCTGGCAAAGGGTGAGTAAACTAAACAGCAGGGCTGAAGTGCTAGACTTCAGAAAGGCTAACTTCAGCATGCTCAGGAGATTAGTTACTGAGACGTTAAAGCCCAAGAGCATTGGCGAAATGCGGGTCCAGGAAGGATGGTCGTTCCTCAAGGGAGTGATCCTACAGGTGCAGAAGGAGACAATCCCATTGCACATAAAAGGGGGCAAAGGGGTCAAGAAGACCACTTCACTAAACAGAGAAGTCCAGGAAAGCCTAAGGGCAAAGAAAGAGGTATACAGGCTGTGGAAACAGGGGGTAGCTACCAAGGAGGAGTATACCTCCCTGGCTCGCACTTGCCGGGAATCAGGAAGGCCAAAGCAGGATTAGAACTTAGGCTGGCAACAAAAATTAAGGACAACACAAAGTCCTTCTTCAGATATATAGGGAGCAAAAGGAAGGCTCAGGGTAGAATAGGACTCCTACAGGACAAACTAGGGCAATTGGTGACAGAGAAGGGGGACAAAGCTGAGCTCTTCAGTGAGTTCTTTGCATCTGTATTCCTAGACACAGACCAAAGACAAATCTCCCAATTGGGTCATAGATAGACATGGGAGGGACACCAGCCTACCAACTGTTAGTGCAGACTTAGTGAAGGGGCACTTGGAGGGACTGGATGTGTTTAGATCAGTGGGCCTGGATGAACTTCATCCAAGGATGCTGAAGGAATTGGCTAGTGTCATAGCACAGCATCTGGCATGGCTGCTTGAGAAGTCATGATGCTCTGGTCAGGTCCCAGAGGACTGGAAAAGGCCCAATGTGGTCCCTATTTTTAAGAAGGAGAGGAAGGAGGAACCAGGAAACTATAGACCAGTTAGTCTCGCTTCTATCCTTGGGAAAACTCAGGAAAAAAAATCATTAAGGATCACATTTGTGGGAGCCCAGCAAGGGAAATAATGCTGAAAGGAAATCAGCACTAGTTCACTGCAGGTAGATCCTTCCTGACTAGCCTTGTTTCTTTTTATGGCCAGGTCACAAAATGCTTTGATGCAGGAGTCAAGGTAGATGTCATCTGCCTAGACTTTAAGAAGGCCTTCGATATGGTATCACATTCTGTTCTCATAAATAAACTGACAGGCTGTGATGTAGATGATTACACAGTCAGGTGGGTGGCAAATTGGCTTGGGGGTCGCACCCAGAGAGTGATGGTAGATGGGTCAATACTGAGCTAGAAAGATGTGGGCAGTGGAGCCCCGCAAGGCTCGGTCCTTGGACCAGTGCTATTCAATGTCTTCTTCAGCAACTTGGACGAGGGCGTGGATAGCACCCTGTCTAAGTTGGCAGATGATACTAAATTATGGGGCAAAGTAAACACATCAGAGGGTAGGGAATGGATCCAGGCGGATCTGGACAGGTTGGAAAAATGGGCAGAACAAAATAGGATGCAGTTTAACAAAGACAAGTGCAAAGTTCTGCACCTGGGCAAAAAGAACCACCAACACACTTACAGGCTGGATGATGACCTTCTCAGCAGCACAGCAGTGGAAAGGGATTTTGGAGTCATAGTTGGCTCCAAAATGAACATGAGTCATCAATGTGATGAAGTGATCAACAAGGCTAACCGCACTTTATCATGCATTAGCAGATGCATGACAAACAGGTCCAGGGAGGTGCCGCTTCCCCTATATGTGTCACTGGGCAGGCCACAGTTGGAGTACTGCATCCAGTTTTGGGCACCACACTGCAAGAGGGATGTGAAGAATCTTGAGAGGGTTCAGAGGAGGCCACTCGTATGGTCAGAGACCTTCAGGCAAGGCCCTATGAGGAGAGACTGAGGGACCTAGATCTCTTCAGCCTTTGCAAGAGAAGGCTGAGAGGTGATCTTGTGGCTGGCTATACATTCATCAGGGGAGGACAGCAGGGAATAGGAGATACTCTATTTACTAGGGCACCCCCTGGAGTAACTAGGAACAATGGCCACAAATTGACACAGAGCAGATTTAGGCTGGACATTAGAAAGAACTTCTTCACAGTAAGGGTTGCCAGAATCTGGAATGGGCTTCCAAGGGAGATGGTGCTCTCCCCTACCCTGGGGGTCTTCAAGAGGAGACTGGACCAGCACCTAACTGGGGTCAGAACTCTTTCCTGCCCATGGCAAGGGGTCAGACTCAATGACCTGCTGAGGTCCCTTCTGACCCTAACATCTATGAATCTATGAGTCAGCAAGACTGTTAATAAGAAACATCATCCACACCCATAGGCAGATCTAGGATGTTGAAAAGTGGGGTGCAGGTCATATGATCTATCATTGCACAGAACACAACACAAATTTTTCTCCAGTTTAAAAAAGGAACTCAAAGCTTTACGAAAAACTTAGGGGCCTAGAGCTATATTATTCAGTTTAAGATTGAAACAAAACCAAATATAACTTTATTGGAACGTACATTCATTTTCTATATGATATATTATGTAAAAACACAACTGAGCAAAAAATAATCAAAAAATGTTGTTCATTAGGCCTGTAGTCATTACAAATACATGTACATCTGTTTTACAGGTTCATGAAACAATATATTGACTTCTTGAGCATCTTCACAGTGTATCCAATACTATACTGAATGTTGTTCCCACACCTGATTTAATGTTTGTAGCTACAGTTAAAAACAGTCTGCAAGGCTGTGATATGGGAGCTACATTTCCAGAAACAGCAAACAGCAGCATGGCAGAAGAAAGGATAGCTCAACTAGTGTAAGATCAAGACCATTAAAAAGGGGAGAGAGTCATTAATACCTGAGGGGTGAAGAAAGTTTAGTAGGAATCAGGTTGATAATAATGAGCCTCACAGTCAGTTGACTCCATCAGCACTGCCTGAATACAAATAGGTAGACTAGGAATCCAGAAGTGGGGTAAAACTGCACCATTGCGCTCCTTCTGGATCCTCCCATATCCACACCCAAGGGAAGGGCTGGGAGCAGAACACATTTTGAAAAATACCACTCCTGTTAGTTAAGGTTAATATTCAAGGTAAGGCTGACTCTTAGAGTCAGCTTCAGAGTTGGCTCACCCCAAGGAGGCTCTTATGTTTGTATGACAGGAGCCAACATACATCCCAAGGAAATATGGCTAGGTACAGGCACTCAAAAAGTCTGATGTAGAATTAATCTAAGTTATGTGGTTTTCTGTAAGCAGTGTAGCTTAGATCAGGAGTGAACAGAACACACATTTGCCCTTTGGTGTGGGGAGGCAAATCTTAGGCTGAGTTTCACCATTTTTACACCTGTCTGTGTGCTGAACTTCAGTCCCGTTACAGGTATAGACTGGTTTTGTGTGCTGAGTTTCTGTTCTGTAACGGGTATAGACCAGGTTCCGAACACTTAATGGGTTAAAGGTGCAAAATCTGTGCCTGGCCTATGAGCACGAAGATGGAAAGAGGGGCCTCTTGCACACGAGCTAAGTGGAGAACAATCTTTGGCTTCACACCTGATAATTCACACCAGAGAATGTCTGGGCTGCAAGCACTGCCTCAGAGTACCCAAGGCAAGAGGTAATACCTAGACAGAAAGTAGGCAGGCAGGCAGAAAGGGAAATTAAAAGGAAGATGCACAAGCTATATCAGCTTGCATAAGGATTCAAGTGCTTATGCAAACTAGACCACACTTCCAAACCTTCTGAGTACTATCATCGCTGATATGTACAATTACTTACAACTTCCCTATAGGCACATTTTGCCATTTACTCCTCTTGCAAATCCTAGCAAAGATGCCAAGGATTACATGAACACAGAAAATAACCCAGTCCCTCACTTGGGGTCACATACTGATTTTTGGTGGAAAAAAATATGCCACCAGCTTTAAATCCCCTTTAGAAAAGGCCAGTAATTCATGGAGAAGAGAGGGTCCTCTGAAAATTGGGTACAATGAGTTGTAAGTGTAGGTAAGGATATGCATGCATGTGCTTTCTTTTATTTAAAAGAAAGTTAAAAATGACTCTATGGGCATTTGATTTCAGTGTCTTTCACTGAACTCTCACGTAGCCACAGTCAGTAAGGGGTTTTCACTACACCACCTCGATGAGTTCTCCTGACTGAACTCAGAAACCTGGGCTAACAAGTACTTAGAGAGGAAACCCACACATCAGTCTTGCAGGAAGTATCTGATTATTCTGTAAAAGGTACTGTTTCCTTTAAGTTTATATTGAGGCATTGGTTCAGAGGCACTCAGCCAGGGCAGTAGGATGGTTAGAGATGCTGGTTCTATGGGTGCAGTGTTAAATCCTGGTCCTGATCATGGCACAGATAGAATCTCCATTTGTAGACAAACATTACCCAGTTTGTTTGAATTGTGATGCATGTGCTTTACAATGCTTTTTAACATTTTTTTCACTTTTATCTATAGAATTGAATCCAGCTAGCAAACAAACTCTAGTCCCACAAATATAATGCGACTCGGCCTGCACTGAGTATGACCAGAGGTATACTGAAATTGTTTCATAGTCTCCCAGAGGTCAGTACCTTGTAAAACCTCCTTCTAGCCCTAAACAGACTTAATTGGGAGTATAGACTGAATTGGAAGTATGCAATTTTTAATGCATTTACTTATTGAATTTTTAATTTGAAGATTATTGACTGTATGGACTGTAATGTCTTTGAACAACAGGGTGAGAGTATATGCCAGACATCTGAAGTAATTCCATGTGAAAAGAGATGGTGAATTGCTGGAGCCTTTAATTACGCTGTTATTTAATGGTATTATGGAAAGGCCTCAAAATGTAATCCCACTCCTTGCACATTGAGTTCACTGCAGCTACATTCTCATAAAATGAAATGCCACAATCATTTCTGTTGGGAAAAATATGTATTTTTTAATTTAAAAGCTCTTAATTGTTATAAAGGAAAAAGGCAGGTGGTGGAGAGCTGATCATTTGAAGCAGTGAGGTTTAACTGTTTATGCTTCTAGGATGCTGACAGAAGCAAACACTAAGGCCCTGTCCACATGAGCATGGGCATTTGTATCCCCAGGGACAACTAGCAGCAGGGCACCTTGCGTTTCTGCTACTTGTCCCCAGAGAACGCCTGTGCCAGATGCCCTCTGGCATGTGACAAATTACTCTGGAAGGGGTAGGGGAGGCTGGGGCCAGCATTGGTCTGGCCCCAGCAGCCTTAGCTGGGGAACTGGGGAACTCCTGGGGCTGCAGCAGCAGCAATCTTGCTGCTCAGAGCCTGAAATTATGTGCCCCAGCCACCTAACCATTTTGTTACCCTTTGCTGAACTGTCTCCAATTTGTCCACATCTTTTCTGTAGTGGGGGCCTAAAACTGGAAACAGTGCTCAAGGTGTGGCCTCACCACTGCTGAATAGAGGGAAAGAATCACGTTCCTTTGATCTGGCAACACTCCTACTATTGCAGCCCAGTATGCCATTAGCCTTCTTTGCAACAAGGGCATATGGTTGGCTTATATGTGTTTTTTTGTTTACTGTAACCCCCAGGTCCTTTTTGCAAAAATGGACCTGGGGTTACAGTGGACAATAAGCTGGATACCAGTCAATAGTATGCCCTTGTTGGAAAGAAGCTAACAGCATACTGGGCTGCCTTAGTACAAGCATTGTCAGCAGATCCAGGGAAGTGATTATTCCCTTCTATTCAGCACTGATGAGGCCACATCTGGAGTATCATGTCCATTTTTGCCCCCCCCGATGGAAAGGATGTGGACAAGTTGGAGAGAGTCTAGTGGAGGGCAATGAAAATGGTTAGGGTGCTGGGGCACATAACTTCTGAGGAGAGGCTCAGGGAACTGGGTTTATTTAGTCAGTTGAAAAAAAAAGACTGATGGGGGAGATGTCATAGCAGCCTTCCAATACCTGAAGGGTGGTTCCAAAGAGGATGAAACTAGACTGTTCTCAGATGACAGAACAAGGAGCAATGGTCTCAAGTTGCAGCAAGGGAGGTTTAAGTTGGATATTAGGAACAACTTTCTCACTAGGAGGGTGGTGAAGCACTGGAACGGGTTACCTAAAGAGATGGTAGAATCTCCGTCCTAGGAGGTTTTTAAGGCCCAGCTCGACAAAGCCATGGCAGGAATAATTTAGTTGGAAAGATCATGCTTTGAGCAGGGATTTGGACTAGTTGACCTCCTGAAGTCCCTTCCAACCCTAATTTTCTATGATTCTATGATTATGGCTATGGGTCTGGCAATAAGTGTCAACCTTGCAATTTTGCTAGAATTCAAAAATAAAGTTTCCACTAAAACTCATTTATGAACAGTATGTGTAAGTGGCTTTGCTTTTCTGTGAGTGTTGACCAGGCTTACTTACTACTCGCCAGCCTACTGACTCCATGTATTGCGTGTTTACTATTTGCACCTAGCACCAGGTCTGTTGCTGTTGAAGAAGAAATAGTTAAACAAATATTTCATTTCAAGCTGCATTGACAGGTAGTGGGACAAAGTTTGAAATGAAGGGGACGAGATGGGGAAAGATATGTTACAATTTCCCCTCAATATCAGGTCCTTAGCTCTGCAATTGTGAGCTCTGGAGTTTTGTTTCCTGCCCTGTATTTTCCACTTTCATATATAAAATGCTTTGGAACTGTGATTACTATTCTTAGAGAGGCATGGTAGAGGGATGGAATACTAAGAGAAATGCATCTTAAAACTTACACTCACAAAGTCTTATCAGTATTGGACATACATAATTTTTTCTTGCAAAGTTTTTGCTATGAAATTGGTTGTCACACAAATTTGCGTGCTTCTCCTTGCTGAATTTTTTTAAACCTACTATATTACTACATTATTTGATGTCCATTTTAATGTTCCTTAAAGATAAAGCACGTATTCTGTGCTAAAATTTCATGCATCCTTTTCTTTGGTTTAACAGAAGTGAATTCTCATTACAAAGTAGATTTCACATACAATTTATTAACTCAGTAAACTCCACCCTGATGAAAATATCCACCTGTAAGCATGAAACATTCTTTCCTAATTGAATTTAAATACTACTCCCCCAACACACAGTCTCCTAGGAAATGGAAAGAGCGTGATCAATCTATGTAAATCACTTTTGTTTAATGTACTGTTGCTTACTTGACTATGAATTTGTTGGGTAATGAATTACGGGTGAAATAGATGCACTGAAATATAAACTGGCCTTCTCTTGAATTGCTTCTTAGAAAAAAATATCAAACCTTTGTGAAAGCTGGAAAAGAGTCTCTCTCAGGTCCTCCACCACAATTTTCCCTTCTGCATAATAAGGATACTGCTAACATAAAAGGTTATTGGGAAGATCAATTAGCTTGCACAGCATTTTGAAGAAGCCATGAAAGCTAAATAAGTAGTAATGTTGTTTTGTACTAATATGTGCAATCCATTTGCACCACTGGAATTGATAGTAATCAAGATATGTTTCTTACTTAGAGGCTAATCACATAAGAATTGTCCATGGGCATTTATAAAAATGGATAGTGACAGTGCCCACAATTTAAATTTAGTTGGAAAAGTCTCATACAAACTTAGATAGATAAGGAAATGCTAAAGACTGACAAAATAATTTCCATTAGTAAAACACTTAAAAATAACATTGAATACCTTATTTAAAAAAGATATTAAGCTGTTTTGTAAAAGCTTAAGTTGAAGTATTTGGGGACTAAGTAGAGAGAACTGAAAGTGTACTGGCAAAGATCCACAGGGATTTTCTGTAATCCAACAGAATTAACAATAAAATCTGTATTTAGAGTACAAAGTATCTAAAATAAGAACTGTTTCAACTATTATGTGTTTGAAATCCCCTTGTGGAGCCTGGCTGGTATTAAGCTAGGTTTGATAATGATGGAGTAAAGTGTAGATATATGCACTGGCCTAAGATTTGGAGACTACAGTAAGCTGCAGCAAATAGAGAATTTCCAAAGGAAAGTAAAGGGCCTGAAATATCTGGACACTGATGGTTCCTGGCAAATGAACAGGCACTCTGGAATAATTATCTACCTGGAACACAGAACAGATACAAAAAAACCCAGTATGATCCAAGGCATAACTTGCATGAGCTCCTTTTTCATGCGTGAAGACAAGAAGGGCTACTTTTGTATCCACAGCAAACTGGATTCGTTTCTGGAAAAAAAAAGTACAGGGACTGAGCAGCAGGTGAAGTTACTGAAAGAAACTAAGGAGGAAAACTATCAGTAGGGATCCTGGTTTTCTCCGATTAAAAAAAAGCCAAATGTTTCTGATTTTAAAAAAACCCCAAAAACCCAAATCCACATTTTTCCAGAATTAAAATGAAACACCACTATTTATATATAGATAGTGGTGTTTCATTTTAATACCCAGAAAAAATTTGAATTCTGGGTTGTTGTTTTTTTAAATGAGAACATTTTGGATTTTTTTTTTTATCACAGAAAACCAGGATCCCTACTGATAAGGCATAATGGAAAGACAAAACATGCCATTAATAATCTTCACCTTTTAAAAGAGGCATGATAAGACTATGGCATTTAATATTACTCCCCACAAGAGGAATCTCTAGAGGTTTCCACTCCCTTAATGTATTCCTCATATAAGAAACATCACTAAAGAGTGCTGACCTTAATGTTTTCCTGTCATTAGCAACTGCCTTGCATGGAAGAGCTTGGCCTGCTTTCCCACTCCAGGTATAACAAATGAGACTGAACAGCAAGAGCAGAAAGAGTGAGAGTTGCCACTCTGGGGATTTGTTCTCAGGAACACATTCATTTGCATCATGATGTTTTGAGGGAATGTCAACATGTCATTCATAACACAACATCATCCCTTGGGGAAACAGAAGGACAACAAGAGAATGCAAGGATTTGGCCTTAAGTGTTCTGATCAAGCGATCTGTCAATTTTCAACCTCTGGGTTTCTGAAACGCATGTATATAGTGGTAATCACAAACAGGTTTACTGGCATACTTTACTGCAGTTTGGGCTTTGCTGTACTCAGAGATTCTATGGCAATTTAATAAGATGCACAATTCAGCTCGCTTTTCAAAACTGTACTCCTGTATATGAGCTTCTCTTTTCAAGATGGCACCCCTCATAGAACAGAGTGCAAACTGATGCAACGAGTCTGCAAATGGACTGAGACATTACCTCTAGAGGAGACATAAACTGTCACGCTCGTTTAAAAAGCTATCTTTTAATTCTAATGAAAACAATTTCAGTAGCAATATTGTTAACTATTTAATGGATGACCATTTCCGCTAAGGTGCTTGTCCTATATAAATCCTAAACCACCTCCAATAAAATGAAAAGTTCTCTAACTATCCCTCCCACCAAAACCTCTGGATTCTCCATCAACTTATAAAGTGAAGCTTTCAATGTACAATTATGCAGCAGAGTGAAAATAAAAATTATAGTAGAAGTATAAAATAAATCAAAAGAATGTCACATTAAATGCCATGAATGCTGTGCTGCACAATTTCTTTATTTTCATATTGAATGCAATGAAAAAAAAACGTATTTTTTAAATCTTTCCGTGAGTGCCATAGAATTGCCAG